TTTCTTACCTGCACTAAGCATGGTAGAGGTTCATCAGTTTCTTGATCGATGGAAATAAATGCTGTGTGTTTGGAGATAACGTTTGCTGATTGGCTCACGTCGACGACCTTCGTGTGAAGTTTGAATGCCTCGTCACTTGGCATGTCACTTAGACTTGTTCTTGATACTTGTAAATATAAAGTTAGATTATAATGAGTTAGTCTTACATTGCACATACAACTGAAGTTGAGTAACACCACTGTGTGACACAGAGTAAGGCTTACTTCACTTGGTGAACGAAGCTTGGACATTAGTAAACACATTTCATTTCTACTACAATATAAACCACACCCAGTATTACACCCAGTATTACCTACTGCTAATGTTATAGTAAGCATTTATGTAGCTACTGAATCTAATTCTTCAATCCATCAGGCTTTGTTCTCAGTTAGTCATATTTTATATCTAGAAGGCTTCACCTTCAAATAAACTGTGAACGGGTGAAGTGCAATCGACGACTTTGAAAACATGCGAGGTTGATAGAGAAATAATTATGTCACAATTTAAAATTACAGGTCTTCCTCTAAATAAAGACCCCTCTAATAATGCACCACATTTTTGTGGTACCATATTAACAGCTGTCTTTTATCTTTATCTTCTAATTAGAGACCAAAGGTGCTAAAAAACATGGAAACCCCGGTCCCTAAAGTGGTTTTTAATAAGAGGAAGACCTGTATTTGAGAAAGACAAAATTATGTTATTATTATACCTTCGTCTCGGATCGCTTGCATTTCCAACAATTCCAAGTCTTGTACAAGATTTTTGGCGGCAAGCTGGTGAATAGTCTCTTCCCATACGTCCTCCTCTTCAGTGTGTATCCTCGGTCCTCTGGTTAGTAGCTTGCGTATATCAAAAGGAACATGACATTCGATTGACTGCCCACAAAATAGTCCACTAATCATAAGTGAGCACATTGTTGATCGCGCTTTGATATCAATTAAATTATCGCCATCAAGTATCCATGATTCGTCTAGACCTTTTTCAAGATCTACTCCGAAGTTGAAGTCATTACGACCACCCTCTATAAAATTATCCCAGACAGGGCTCATTGGCCCTAGTTCGATGCTGAGTTGCTCTTCTTGTTTCAGGAAACAAAGCTTTGGCGGGCGACGATCTGTTTCGGATTTTGGTCGTGATCGTGCAACGTGAGTAGGACTAGAGGATTTCCGTCGATCTCTGTACGACAGCCGAGAAAGCATTGTCCGTAATGTGCCCGGATCTACAGCGTCTGTTGCTTCAGACAGTGAACTGGCTCTGACCCGCCTAGAGAGTAGTTCGATACGACGATGCTTCATCTTTGGAATGATAAATAGTTTTGAATTAAGAGTGTAGAAATACTGTAAATGACTTAATAGCACCTAATGATTTTTCAAAAACGACACCACAGATTTAAATGGCAGATGCTTATTTTTTGTTGTTTTTTTTCACCTAAGTGGGAACTTCCTTTATGTCGGTCAGTTAAAATGGAAATATAGGCCTATAATCAAATCACTCACATAATCCTCATTGGATGTATTCTTGCTTAACGGATCATTCACCTCCTGTTCCATTCGGGAATCAGATCTTGGTGACGACGATAATGTTCTTACAGGTGATGCGCCTGTAAATCAAATTTTGATAAAAGCGTTTGACAATTATGAAATATGATATCAGCAATAAGGCTCGCACCTTGTGTACGACGCCTGTGTTAATGCGTTTAGATTTCTGAAAATAACATCAATTCTGCTAATTGACATTTGTATAATGGGGATGTCATGGTCATGATGATTCGTCAACAATGTTATAATTATGGTAATTGTATTTTTGGTTAAGTAAAAGCAACTTAAATGGGATTTTTGTGAGCATTTTAAACTTATGTTATCGCATTAATTATGACTATTAACAAGTGAGAGGCAGACTAATATAACATATATATAATTGAATAAAGCTTTAACAAATATTTTGAATAAGGCATTACGTTATGATATACTGAGATACCTAAGTATCCTAACTATTCACTGACGTATTAATTTCTGATGGTGAATCATAAAGGTCACCGACAACAATCGATGTAAAAAGTTGTTTTTCCTACGGTTTTGATATTAGGTAAAGGTAAATCTAGAATAATAATCCATAACTGTACATTGATCATTGTACAGTTAGAGAGGCGCCTAAAAGCACACCCTACTTTTCTTCAAGTTGCAATGTTCTTCAAAATACACACGAGACAAATGTTTGCATTAAACCTCTTTCAAAGTCCTTATCCTAAAAGTCTTAGTTCTACCAACTAAAATCTATGCGTGGTGCACCGATGTTACGTATGCAGTTAGCAGCACTTCTTCATTACTGTTCGGCCACTGGACTCAAACGATTATATTAGTATTTAAATAATTATCAACGAAGATTATAACTTAAAACATTTAATTTACAAGAACTTATTACAGTATCTTACAACTTATAAATAGTAGCATTGTGAAGATATGAGGACACAAATTTGCTATGAATCATAGTAAATGATCATTAAAAAATGCTGTATTAGAATTTTTGTTATCGGCAATGTTAATGTCTTCGAGAGTACAGAAATATAAATTGAGAACATAATGCGAGAATATGTAAGGCAGAAAACTATCGCGTGAAAATAAATTAAGAAATTGTTGGTTTAACAGTATTACGAAGAATACGGTACTCACTTCCAATAAATGAGCGGTTGCTTGACTGGCTATCCTGTTGTGGCGAAAACGATGAGTGTTTTTCTTCTTCCAGATCGACACTATGGTCATCTGACAGATTTTTATCGAGGAATGGGTTATGGCGCTCTTCCTTCAAGAAAGATCCAACTGTCGTTTTCATTCCCGCCGTGTCCGTTAGGAGTCCGTATACCACAATTGACTCTCCTTGCATCAAAGGTGGATGGTGTGTCGGCGTCTGACATAACTCAATCCCGTACGGAAGAGACCATTGGAAGGTAATATCACTGATGCAAGGCCGTAAGGACCTTTTTAGAAGGTCAGCCACCTGTAATAAAAAAAATAATGCCATAAAAACAGATTTTACTTAACTGCAAGAAATTTATACTGTAACATATAAAATACATTTTTAAACAATGACAAATACGTCTATTTTAAAATATTGTGATAAATAGAGCCGTACGGTACCTCCTTATGCATTCGGTCTCCGGTGTTAATCATTACTGCACTACCTCTACCAACATTTGCCATGGTTTCAAGTTGTATCGTGGAAGACCTGTATCCAACCCCTATAACGTGTACTCTGGCAATAATAGAACAATCATATAATATAAATATCAACACAATACATAATTTATATTATTCTGTCATTGTGGCATATTAAATTTCTTAATATATAAGCTATACACGCACATGAAAGGTACGACGGCTCTGCTTCATGGCACACAGCATAACAACAAACAATATTAGTTGGCCCGGATTTAGGTTGTACTCCAGCTTCAATGAGAAGTATTCCACGCTCATAGCAATTACTAAGAAGCTGTTTCGGGGAATACTTGTACAAGCAAATATTTAGTTATACATATGCAATTATATAATACAAATAGAACCTCAAAGAGGCCCCAGGACGAAAGGTGTCTATCAAAATTGGACTGATTCATTGGCTATTATTGAATACGGATGTCACGTAACTCACTTTGATACCGATGTAGGAGGCATAGATATCTATAATTTTATGCCATTTTTTATTCACGTCATTAGTATTAATAATATGCGAAGCACTCAGTTCAAAAAGCTGAAAATATTAAAGCATTTTGACAAATAGAAATATAAAACCGAACTTAACGCAAAGCTCAACCCTCTCCATTTAGGGGCTGTTTCTTTTTCGAGTATCTAAATGCAGTTTAATAAATAGTATATTTTAAATGTTAAAATTTCATTAGAGCTCTTAACTTCACTATTTACCTTGTAGTATTTCTATTTGCCCTGATCAACTCAATTGTCTGTCCGGTGTTTGATATTGAACCATCAGTTATAATAAAAACTTGCCTTGGCCAACCCCTAGCAACAGGATGTTCGTAAACCCAAGATAAAGCTGAAAGAAGATCAGAATTATTCCCTCCAAGGTCCGCACGGATAGTACGAATGTGGTTGCTAGCCTCCTCGACATTTGCCTGCGTGTATGGACGACTTTGTTCAAATGCTGGCTTACATGTCGAACCAAAGCCAATAACATTAAACCTACACGAAAAAGGTAGACTTTTGATACATAAGAGAAGGGACTCTCGTGTGTTAGCGATTGTGTCACCACACATACTGCTGTTTCTGTTGACCATAAAAACAAATTCCCCCGGAACTTCAAATTCATCCCTTAAGAGTTTCTTTTTAAATTCTTCGTAGTTTGGAAAGTAATTCAACATAATGACTGGCACATGCATTATATCTTTATGAAGTCGATTTTTTATGTAACAAACATTCCGTTCATTTTCATCTCCAAGATCAGCATCGCGAATAAATTCGGTTTCTGATTTAACATACGCCTCGTATTCCTCCGGGCGCATGTTCCCGTGCTCAAGGATAACTACTGGTTCGCTCGTGTTTTTTCGGAAGACCATGATTTCAAGATCTCGGTCCATCGAATGTGGCTCGGCAAGAGTCACAAAAACTGAGGATGCGTCTTTCGCAAAAGGGTCAGCGTCAACGCGAATCGAATGACTCGAGCTCCACACCCCAGCTAACAACGTCGGAGCTTTCACTTCCAGTTGAAATTCAAAATTGTACTCCATTGGATTGTAAGGCGTTTCGTTGGCGATTTGCGACAACTTTTTAAAAGTGGTTTCCGAAAGAAGATCCTCCGTCGATTGATGTTCATGGCAATCTTCGTTAGTCACAGAATGATAATCTGAATCTTTTGTTGAAAAATTTCGAAAATCAGTTTGCAAACGTGGAGTTAAAACACAGGGATACTTGACAACAACACCACCCTCTAGGTTCGTTTGTAACTCAGAAACTAAACTCAACAAAAGTGTCACGGATCCAAAAGGTCGAATTGTTCCAATATTTGCACAAAATATTGTCTGTTCTTCTGTTTCAGTGAGAGAGAACTTTCCCTGTCCCAAATAAGTTTGGCTTCCTCCACTTAACTGCTCGTTAAAATGATCTATGTCTGTTTTATCCTTGAGTTGTACTGTAATATTACGAGTTTGGAGGTGGGCTTCAAACCCCACTAACGAACTAGCTTCGTCCAACGGAAGCACAAAAAACCCTTCAACCACATGGTCCTCATCGTTATAATACGTAAGCGCGGATGTAGTTGCTAGGGACTGCCCGTTTACGCAGGACGACACACGTATTCCCTGGAGCGGGATTATTGTACGTGTATGGCGGTTTATTAATCCTGGCATTGTGATTTGTATTCTCTAAGCAGCACGGCTACTAATACTTCGTAAAATCCATTTAAAATTATAATATCATAACTTTAAATAGCATCGTCTACTACTGTATCATATGAATTACAATGATACAGAAAAACCACATGAGAAAAATAAAATCCTTATAAGCTTTTAATTCATGTTTTACTATTTAAAAACATATTTAAACTACAGGACTTTAATTAAAGCCAAATGGATAGCATTGCACAATTTTACAGACTCATTTAGTTTGAAAGCAGACCCAAGATGTGTATAAGAGACAGGTCTATGATATTCTAAAATTGTTCGGTTAAGTGCTTGACTAATCTAGGAAATTTCAATTTTTTCGCCTGTTTATTATGCAGTATGGCAGATACTCATGACATGACTGGACTGTGTAATTTCTGTATTGCTTTACTCATTCATCCAGCAGCAGTTCGTTGACATGCATGATATAGATAAACCGTGTCATAGTTCATTACGATGCTACGCTGCTTAATTTTAATTCAAAAATACTTTATTACTTCACGTCATCGTCATCATCATCAGTATCTTTTAGGCATACTGTAGATAATCGATAAAATTAGTTACTTAGGTTATTGTGTATGGCTTCTTCAGGCAACACAAAACATGAATACCAATCTAAGCTAAGTTATTAAGGGAATATTTATAGTTTCTATATTTCCGCTAAATTATGCATAATATTCGGTAAGGCATTTCAAGCTTCCTGTTCTAAAAACAGGCAAAGCACTAACGCGCGTACTCGCTCTGCAATTAGTAAACTTGCCGCAAACACCTGATGTGTTAAATCTATCAAGCGAGATCTTTGAAGCAATGTTTACATCGTTTCGTCAGCCCCGGATTCTCTTTGTTCAAGTATGTATCGATCACGCACAAACAAACGCCTCGCTGCTTGACAGGCCTTTTAATGCCTGGCAAACACTAGTGTAACTAAAAAGATCGAACTCTATGTGACGTCATTTCAAAAGCTGTATTATTACAACTGTTATGGAGAAATGCAATATCTTGGGATCACAGTCAAATGAATATTTATTATGATATTATATCTTATATCCTTATATTAATGGGCTGTCTAATAACTGAGGTGCTACTATACACGCGCGCGTGCAGTACATTATAAAATGGCGCATACTGACGTTCTGTGAAAAGATAGATAGTAAATATTAATTATTTATTCCAGTCTCACCTTTCTTTAAACAAGAGGCAATGTCTATTAATCTTGGTTCACACTGTATATAAGTTTAGACGAGATTTGATGAAACACTATCGCTAGCCACATCATATTATTGTCAGTGTCAATACTATACAATTTTGACGCAAAACGCAAACGCAAGCAAATATATGTAAAGTAACGTTTTTGCAAGAGGGGACTAGGACTCGACTGCGATCAAAGAGTATAGAACTGCAAGTAGTCCGACTTTCGGTGTCTCATTAGGAAAGCAACCCCATCTTTAAAATCTTAAAAATTAATAATAATAATAATAATAACAACAATAATAATAATAACTGTTGACGAGTCTCTGTGTTGTTTTCATTTTTTTTTTTTATCTTTCCCGAGGGTTTTCACAAATTGTTTATATATATATACAATATATATATATAATCTTGAACCTTATACTTCAATATATATATATTTCTATAGGCCTATTTGTTAAACTTCAATTTGTATTTTATCTTTTGTAATTTGCAAATTGCCATTAAAGAGTATTTGTATAAAAACAGTACTACCACAAACTAGAGAGCGTCCTTCAAAGAACGTAAAAGACCTTCGTAAAGGGCGCCACACATCTCGTGGTAGTTCTTTTTTTACGTTTCATTGCGTGCATACAAAATCAGGGCAGTAAGACTTCTTGCAATTCTATACTTTTTGCTGCGATCAAAATAGTGGAAAAGCAATGTCTTTCGTTTTGCGTCAATCCTCTTGCGTTTGCTTTGCGTTTGAATAGATTAGATGAACTAAGCTTTAAACATTGAGTGGTGGAATATACTGAGTTGTTGTTTATTGAAACCACCTGTCAAATAAAAATCCAGCATTATTGCATCTTCAAACTAGAACTGGTTTACATTAAATTAGACAGCTCTGTCGTCATTCCTAAGTAATCAATCAGTTAAACCTTGATAAAACGAATGCGATAGACTTTTACTGATACTGATTCCTCGAATTACATTAATGCGTTTAAACGTTTGATAATGACTATGATGATGATGACGACGACGATTACGACAACAACCAGGATGGTGACGATGATCATAATAATGTTTGCATAAACGTAAATTAATAAACAATCAATTTTCATGAACGCCTAGTTGTCCGGAATGTTTCGGTGGTATTTCTCAGGATCAAAAGTCTTATAACGTACTCTACACACTCGTGATAAGTGTTCTATATATTAATCGGAAACAATTAGTTTTTAATCTTTAGCATGCCTCTGGCTTTACGTGTGTACACGAGGCCTCATGGTTATTCAGGATCGGTTTAATTTACAGCAGACCGTTAGAGTTACACACGTAGTGGTAAATTGCATGAAGCACTTCACTCCACTGACGTCATACTCATAATATCATAACTTTAAATAGCATCGTCTACTACTGTATCATATGAATTACAATGATACAGAAAAACCACACGAGAAAAATAAAATCCTTATAAGCTTTTAATTCATGTTTTACTATTTAAAAACATATTTAAACTACAGGACTTTAATTAAAGCCAAATGGATAGCATTGCACAATTTTACAGACTCATTTAGTTTGAAAGCAGACCCACAGTACTCTTATTATAAGACACTGCCTTCAATCTCAGGGTCCTGGGTTCAATTTTCTCTCGACCAAAACAACTGCACTCCGTAAGCCTTATAATGAGTATTGGTTTATGTAAAGCATCTTGGGTTTATGTTTGCCTTGTGAAAAGATGTGCCACTTAGATAAGTGATTTAAGTTCGCTGTTTTTTGCATACCTTTACCTTCGACAGAAACCAAAAGTAAAAAATCAGGGCAACTCACACCGTGGATTGAGTTACAGTTTATGAACATATATTTTCAACCTCTAATCGAGTGTTTGCTGTATCGAAGTATCGCTAAGTTGCAAACAATGAATACCGGTACTTTATCGCTTCTTTAAGATTGAGAAACATGCTCTGTACTCTTTCGCAACGAATAAGAGACATACCGGTACACTATGCGTTACCGACACAATGTAATCACTGTACTCGCCACAGGTTCAGCTCTGGAAGTGGTTGATATACAGCAGTTATTACTGAATGAAATACACTATACCTGGACACGATTTATATTCAGATTAAAAGCAGAAACAAAAAAAAAAATGCCATTAGAGATAATGCATAGACGAGGCAAGGGCTTTGATCCGTAGAAATATTACCGTATTCTGGCTCCAGCAATAATAAATTATAATGATAGCATTCTGCTCGATTATATATACATCTGATCAACAAATTATAGCAACATAGAGAGGCCTTATGTCGTTATGACAGTTTCACATGCAAGGTATAAAAGAAACGATCCATGTGGAATGGTACGGAAAATGTGCATTCTTCAAATATGACTTAAGGTCCTCAAACCTCTTTCAAAATTGTAATTATCTTCTTGAGAATAGATTCGGAACTCGACTATGGATAATTAATTAAAGTGAATGCCGAAATTAATAAAATATCCATAGCATATTATTAATATTCCAGTTCATTATACGTGACCTTGGTATTCAATTTCATTATTTTTTGGTATTTAAAGATAAATTATTCTTTTATTTAACAGAGGCATGTTGCCAGTTACAGAAAGAAAAAAAATTCTTAGAAAGATCAGTACAGCTTAATTTAGGAAACCTTTTTCGGCCTTTGTTAATTGCTTATATTTGCTGTTGGTTTTGATGTGAAATGGAGCGTTGTATCTGCAAAAAGGCGCTAATGACAAAATATGAAAAGAAAGTTTCTATACCACCAAAGCAGACACTTACGGTATAAAACAAATCATTCTAAATTTAAACGCATCTTACTGTAACACACCGTAGGCCTACTACTGACATACAAAAAATACTTCCGTGACAAGGAGCGTAAACAAACGTGACCATCACTTACAATATCTTAATTTAACTCTTCTCAAAATACAAAACCCTTTTGCTGTAGCATTTCAAAAGACAAACATCCTCTGAGATACTAACGAAATACTTCCTAGCCCCAGCATTCAGACAGCACCTCTAAATCCAAGAAATTACCAGCAAAATTTTGATAACACTGAGGTGTTCCTATTAAACTCAGTGTTATCAACATTATACAGTTCTCACAATTGATGTACAGAATGCATGTCAGCTATAATGGTCGTCTGCAAATATACAAAAATTGGCTTGCATAGAAACAAATCAACACACATCAATGTGCATAATTCAAATATGTAATAGGTTGATGGGAGCAAGAACTTATTGAGATTATGCCGTTAGATAATGTGACGGACATCATCCTGAACACGTCTGCATCACATCAACAACAGTCGATTATAGAAGAATTTGCAGTATTATCTTTCGACCAAGATCCAATATTGAATAATTATATAACTATATCTAACGTGTTTATATATAATGATGATGATGATGATGATGATGATGATGATGATGATGATGATGATGATAATGACAATGAAAATGATGATGATCCAAATAATGATAGATGCGGATGTATAATCTTGTGATTGTTTTTAAATGTATCGTTGATGATGACTGTGATCATGATGATAACCATCATAATGATGAAGTTCAACAGGATGATAAAAAATAATATGACGATGACAATGATGATTAGACTATTTATAAACTACGTGATGAGAAAATGGTTATGATAATATAATTTCTATTAAATAACTCATGACAAAGTTTAACATCTTAGATTATAAATAGTATGAATATACTATAGGTTAGTATACAATGGATGTATTCATGACTATTATTAACCTTTAGAATGTCAACATATAGAGCAGATAGAGTTTGCATTTGCTATTGATGTAACTACCACAATACAAGAAC